TAGGCCGCTGTCCCGGGGCCTGGCCTGGGAGGGGTCAGAAAGTGTAACAGGTGACAGAGAGGCCTGGCAGAAAAGCCCACCAAGTCTCCCCCAGCCTGGCCCCTAGGGGAGGGAAGAAAGTGGGCACAAAAGTGGACACGACTATTACATAGATAATGAACATTCTACTGTCTAGAAGGAACCAAATACCAAGGGAAACACATGAGTTCCTCAGGTGAGCTCTGAGAAGCAAAACGCTCCAGTTTGATTTCACTTCCGCTAAGTTTGCTCCAATGGCACTCTTGGTGTTTCTGAATCACAAAGAAACAATATAATATACTCTTGTTTATCTGTCATTTAATTCCTACAAGAAATAAAATGGAACAAATAGTGGTCCCTCCCCCTCAAATGCCCATGAAGTATCCCAGGAGCTCCTCACCTTCAGACACCTTCCATAGGCCCCTGAAGGCTTTCTAGGTCAAAGGGTGAATGAACTTCATGGTTATTTTAGGATGAGAAACAATTTTCTGCTCTCGTGAATGACAGCTGGTCGTTCGTATTATTTATATCATCTTCCAGTAGAGTATCTGGGAGCAATACCGGCTGTAGTGTTAGTACAACCAGACTGGCTTTCCCAGTGCCTGGGTCCTCCTCTCTGGTAGGGTCAGACGCTGACTTCATAATGTGCCCCGCCCCTCTCAGGGAGGGGCTTGCCCTGCCCAGGAGAGGGATCTGGAGGACTAGTCAGCAGGGTAGCCTTGGGAACAGGGGGCTGGGATAGATGCAATACACCCTGGTTTGTCACGATCCCTTTTGCAGCCTGGATTATAGATCAGGGATATTAATGCTAGAGAGACAAGTACTAGAAAATCAACTGGGACCACAAGTGCTACTCCCCATGTGTGTTTTCTGTCAACTCTTAATTGTTACAAAGTTACCAATGCCACGAATGGTATCAAAAAAAAACAAGGCCCAACTTCTCGGCTTATCACTGCTGCCCCCCAAATCAGCCCCAAACTCTCTTCCCAGTTTGACCTCAGCACTGCTCCCTTCTACGCACCTTCCAGCTCAAACCGTCCTTTCTCCCATCCACTTCCACACCTGTTTAAACCCCACCCACCTTCAAGACCCTATAGGTCCCCGGATTCCAGGGTGCACTGTGCTCCCACACCGCCGTGGAACCATAATTTCATTCTGTTTGGTTGTTTTGTTCTCCTGTCAATCAGAATCCCTGGGGAGGGAAAGGCTACCGAGCCAAGATGGCTTACACATCTCTGGGTCACATGGCTCAGACCACTGCCCACCCCGCCCCCGCACGCCACAACAGCCCTGTGGTACACACTCAAAGGCAGGCATGTAGTCAGTAGAAGGGGAGCAGTGAGAAAAAAAAAAACTCAGGTTCTTCTTTTCTCTAAATACTTTGAGGTTCTAGTCTCTACCTCAAGAGTTTGCTTAGTAAGAATATGCTGCGTGAGAAGCTACAAAGATAAGTCTAGGAGCCCTAGTCAGCGCTCACATCAACTCGTCCACCCCCTCGGGACCTGCTCCTCACTCTGTACTGCCCATGCCGCCCTCCAGATGTTAACAGGCCTGCCCCCACTGAAAGTGCTCTTCACGCAGAAGAAAGAAAGAAAGAAAACTGAGGGGAAAGGGCCACACGCATTTGAAACTGGTCACATTATCTTGAGGCTTTACATACAGAAGGCTCTTAGTTCCTGAGACATGCATGATTCTAAGCTGCCCCCTCGTGGGCATTTGTAAGAGTCACACCTTCAAACGTTTGCAGAAAATCTTGATTATCATGCTTGCTCAAAGTCCTCATCACCTGCTTCATCATAACAGGACGTGACAACTGGGCAGTTACTGTGGACCAAGTGTACTGCTTGGACTTACTCGGCCCAATCCCTATGATGACGGTGGTACTATCACAACCCTCGTCTTACAGGTGCAGAAAGGGAGGCACAGAGAGGTTAATTAACGTGTCCGAGGTCACACCATCAGAAGTGGAGAAGCTAGATTCCCATGCAAGAACTAGACTCCAGAGCCCACACTCCTTACTGCTGCTTCCCTATGTGGCTCTCTGGCAAAGGAGGAACTGTAACACCTTGATCTTAGTGCCTAGGAATGAAAGTTCTGACCCAGTATCCAAGGCAGGAAACAAACCCCATCCTAGTCCCAGGAACGAGCCTGTGAATTTGGGGAGAAGTGCGAGTCTAAGTCATCACAGAAGTATCAACAAGTACTACTGTGAGCCAAGCACTGGCTGGCTGGGCACGCATGGGGCCACTGCCTGCGCAGGCTAATTATTTGCTTCCTCTTAAATTGATGGTTTGAAAATGTTTGCTACAGGATGTTTTAGAGAGGCTGATGCTCCTGGGTCGAGAAGGGGCTAGGCAGAGAACCCTGGGGACAACTGTGGCAAGCAATTCTGCCCTGGCACCACTGAGAGGGGTGGAATGATTTGAAAAGCCCAACGTGGGTAAACCTGGGGTCTCTGTGCTATCGCATGGCAGCCATGAGCCATGTGCGGCCATTTCAATTTAAGATCATCAAAATTAAATGTAATTAAAAGCTCAGTTTGTCTACGGCCATGCCATTCTGAACAAGCCCAATCCCGTCTGATCTCGGAAGCTAAGCAGGGTCGGGCCTGGTTAGTACTTGGATGGGAGACCACCTAGGAAGACCAGGTGCTGTAGGCGTAAAAAAAATAAAAATAAGGGATTGTAAGCTGACAAGGCCCTTGCAGTCTGTGAAATCAACTAACGGTTGCCTTGCCTTAAAAATAAAAAAATGAGAATAGAACTACCATATGATCCAGCAATTCCTCTTCTGGGTATTTGTCAAAAGAATATGAAAACGGTAATTTTAAAAGATATGTACACCCCAAGTTCATTGCAGCGCTACTTTTATTTTTTTATTTTATTTTATTTTTTAGGCGAGGCAACCTTTGGTTGACCTCACAGATTGCAAGGACCTCGTCAGCTTACAATCCTCTATTTTTTTTTTCTTTTACGCCTACAGTACCTGGTCTTCCTAGATGGTCTCCCATTCAAGTACTAACCAGGCCTGACCCTGCTTAGCTTCCGAAATCAGGCGGGATCGGGCTTGTTCAGGGTGGCATGGCCGTAGATGCAGCACTCTTTATAAGAGCCAATACATGGAAACAATCTTAAGTATCTCTTGACGTCTGAATGGATAAATAAGATGTGGTGTGTATATATATATAATGGAATACTACTCAGCCATAAAAAGATGAAATATTGCCATTTGTGACAACATGGATGGAACTTGAAGGTATTCTGCTAAGTGAAATAAGTCAGATGGAAAAGGCCAAGAACAGTATGATTTCACTCATATGTAAAATATAAAACAGAGAAAGAGAAACAAACAAACTAAAAACAAATTCATAGATACAGATAACAGATCGATGGTTACCGGAGCGGGAGGTGGGTGGAGAGAGGGCAAAATGACTAAAGGGGGTCAATTATATGGCGATGGATAGGAACTAGAATTTTGGCGATGAGCACGCTATAGTGTATACAGATATAATGTTCTATATCTGAAACTTAAATAATGGTACTAACCAATGTTACTTCAATAAAAATAAAAAAGAACTGTCAAGTAAACAATTAACTCACATCTCCAACTTCCACCTTGTGACTCCTGATGACCCTCCAAGGGCCTTGCTGAGAGGCCCTGGGCTCATCTTGACGGAAGAAGGGGTGAAGCACAAACCAGACAGCCCCTATTCGTTAGGGGCCATGGACTTGACCAGTTATTACCACCATAGCAGCACAGCCAGAGGAATCGAGGGAGACTGTGATTAACAGACCCAGGGCAGGTAACCGTAATACCTGAACACTAACAATACCAAGCGACCTCCTCTAACGACATGGTATACTCAATGCTGAATTCAGTTCCAAAAGCAAGCCTTCTTCCTGTATGGGTCAAAGTCCTAAAGTGTTTAGTTTTCCTACACAATCATCCTTTGGCCCTTGTCCCCTGTATTATATGTGTACACTTATTGTCTTCATTTGTTAAATCAGAGACCCAATTTTATCTTTAAATCCCATGAGAACAAATGGAGAACAGTGCTTGCCAGGGGGTAGGGAAGAGGGGCTATAAAAGGGCATCATGAAGGGCCCTTGAGGTGATAAGAATGTCTCTATCTTGACTGGACCAGTGTCAACATCCTGGCTGTGACAGTGTAGCACATGCTGCAACTCGGCACCACTGGGGGAAACTGGGGAAAGGGTACGTGTGACCTCTCTGTACTACTGTTTATAACTGTATGTGAATCTACGATGACCTTAAAATAGAAAGTTTAATTTAAAAACTTCTGGCCCAGTGTGAAGTCCTGGAAGAGACCCACATACAAAGAGGGAGCAGAAGAGGTGTCCCACCCAGGAGGAGAACAAAGGGCACCCATGTCAGAGGCACCCCTGCCCCGTTCTTGATGCAGTAATGCTTCCCCCCTGGACAACCGCGTCTGGGTAATGTGCACCCCTAAAATGGAGGCCTTTTCCTGGACAACTGATCCCTTCAGGAAATGAGAATGAAACAGGGATACTGAGCTGAGAAACAACTATTTTATGTTAACAGAACAGCACAAAATTCCATGTTCCACTGATTTGCTCTTGCTTGGAGTAACTTCCTGTTATCCTTGGGCTGCAGCAAAACATTTTGAAAAACTAATTTTAAAATGAATTTCATTACCCTGAGGCACTCTCCCACTAGAATATTAATGAGATGATATTAGTCAATTATTCATGTTA